GCCCTCAGAAGAAAAGCTAGTAATTTAACATCTTAAGTTTGGGGATAATGTAGGTGTTTTGCAAAAGCTCTTAGAAGATTTTAGGATACATAGCTGTTATATGACTCTGCTCTAGATCTTGAAACCTATAATTTTGTCATAGAAAATTGATTCTTTTTTTTTTAATCCTAATGCTAGGAATGTGGTTGGGTGGTGCGTGGCAGGCATTGACATTCTTATTCTTAGCTATTCTGGTTGTGTTATTGGGACTCTCTGTACCAGCTCCCCCTGCCTAACGCCAGCAAACACCCTTGTTTTGATTAGAAAGTGAATGATGCCTGATGAAGAAGGTAAGTTTTAAAATAGAGGATGGGAAATGTTATCTTGCTTGTCCTGGTACCCCCCAAACTCCTTTAGCCACGGTTTTATAAAGGAGACTGCTACAGAGATTCAGGATCTCAGCAGAGGGTATAGAAGTGAATTTGTTGTCAGTTCCCAGCTTCTTTAGCTGTGGGTCACAACCCCATATGGGCTCATGTAACTGAATGTGCGGATTATGAAAAACTTGGCATCAGTAAAAGATTTCTTAATGAACAGTGACTAAAAAGTAATTCAGAACGGAATGTGCCTAGTGCGTGCAGTGCTCACCCACCTTACACTGCACCATATACCCATTGCTGCCTTGTTTCTGAACACAGCGTGCACCCTTCGTATTGCACATACCTCACACCATGCAAGCCCAGTTGATGCTGCCTGAAAAGCCTCAACTCAGATTCAAGGCTGTTATATGGTATAAGTTGCCTTGTTTTTTATTATACATGCAAAATTTTCTCTGTCTATAGAAATACAATGGTTTAATTATAGAAAACAAAGATTTTTAATACTTTCCTACCATCGTTTTCTCTCAGCAGGTATCAAATTAATATGTCTTCTGATTGTCTTGTGTTAGAATGTTTGTATTGATGACTTAAGTTCCATTTTAAAATATTAAATGAACTTTGTAGAATTAGGTTAGAGTTTCCAATTGTTTCTGAAATGGCAGTAAACATCTATTTTATGTTATATATTGATACAAAGTAGCATTCTCAACATTGATGACTATAAAATCAAAATATTGTTCAACCCTGAAGAACATTAAACATTCTCTGTGTCCTGCAGCATCAAATGTTCAACCAAGATTTAATTCTTAAAAGTAAATATTCACCAGGCAATGGTGGAGCACACCTTTAATCCCAGCACCAGTGAGGTAGGGGCAGATGGATCTCTGTGAGATTGAGGCCAGTCTGGCCTATACAGTGAGTCTCAGGACAGCTGGGTCTACCCAGAGAAACCTTGTCTCAAATAAAATAAAATAAAATAAAATAAAAATGTACTTCTATCTCTTTGTATTCAAATTTGCTTTTGTTCTTAATAAATGATGAACTTATTTGTATACCAAAGATTTTGTTTGTTTTGCTTTTGTTGTTGGTTGTTTTCAACAGGGTTTCTCTGTGTTGTCCTGGCTGTCCTAGAACTCACTCTCTAGCTGGTCTCATAACTCAGAGATCCACCTGCTTCTGCCTCATGAGTGCTGGGACTGAAGGCATGCAGCACCACTGCCAGGCCAAAGTGGTGTAGGAGGTCCTTCTTTCTATGTGTTGCTTGCATTGGTTAATGAATAAAGAAACTTCCTTGGCCTGATAGGACAGAACTTAGGTAGGTAGAGAAGACAGAAGTGAATTCTGGGAGGAAAAAAGCAGTGTAAGAGAGCCGCCATGGATTCAGACATGCTGAATCTTTCCCAGTAAGCCACTGCCACGTGGTGATATACAGATTAATAGAAATGGGTTAAATCAAGATGTGAGAGTTAGCCAATAAGAGACTAGAGCTAATGGGCCAAGCAGTAATTCAATTAATACAGTTTCTATGTGGTTATTTCGGGGCTAAGCAAGCCGGGTGGCCAGGACGAACAAGTGGGCTCTCCTCCCTACAACACCAAAGGATTATTTCTAAGAGAAATTTCTTTATGATTTACTGGTAAACACCTGCTGTATATGCCTGTACAACTGGGATCATGAAAATTTTACTGGGTGAAAGGAAAGAAATAGCTCAAAGTCAGGATATCTTGGCTTGTAGTGCTGTTCCTTGAGCACCAGGGAATTCCACCCTTGATGCCATTTATCTCCTCATTACCAACCCCAGAGGGGACAGGAGTCCTCCCAGGTGGCATAGGGACATGTGAGCTAGAAGCCCCAGTCAGAATCTCTGTGCTTTCTTTTTATTTTCATGATCAAGAAAGAAGTTAACTCATGAGAGACGTCTGCTTATTTTACCTTTGAATTATCACTACCTTTCTGTTTTTGAATCTCCTTTTGATATTCAAACACTATATTCTTGACTTAACTCCTCATAGATAGGTTGTTCTGGCTACTCCTTTGTCAACTTGACACAAGCCAAAGTCTTCTGAAAGGAAGGAACCTCAATGGGAAAAAAAAATGCCTCCATTAAATCCGTCCTTAGACAGGCAAGCCTAAGACAGGCATTTTCTTAATTAGAGATTAATGGGAATCGGGAGAGCTAGGGGATACCACTGTGAGTGATGCCACCCCAGGGCTGGACCTGGGGGAACCTCCAAAAGGGCAAAGACTATGAAGATTCTCCTGTCCCATGTAAGTGCTCATCAAGGGGTGACTTCACCTTTTGATAGTAGATAGGATGACCAGTCTGGGGAAGTCAACCTCTTTCCCTAGCCATTTCTGTCATTTCCCAGTAGGACTGTGAGCAGAGTGGCAGAAGTGGAGGTTATACATGGACTCAATAACATGGACTTTTCCATTCACCAAGGCTGACCTGGTTACAGCTGCTGCTAAGAGCCAGATATGCCAACAGCAGAGACCAGCAGTGAGCCCCAGATGTGTTACCATTTCCAGGGGTGAACAGCCAGTGACTTGGTGGCAGGTTAGGTACATTGAAAAAATTCCTTCATGAAAAGACAATGCCTGGTTCTTCGTGGAATAGATATTTATTCTGGTTATGGATTTGCCTTTCCTGCATGTAATGCTTCTGCCTAAACCACCATCCAGGAACTTACAGATTGCCTTACCCACTGTCACGGTATTCCACACGATATTGCTTCTAATCAAGGAACTTAACTTCACAGCCACAGAAGTATGGCAATGGGCCCTGCTCACAGAATCCATTTATTTTACCATGTTCCTCACCATCCTGAAGCATCTGACCCGACAGAACAATGGAATGACATAGAGCACCAACTAGGTGTCAGCCATGATACAGTCTCTCCCATAGCTAGGATTCACAGATCCGGAGTCAAGGGGCGGAATGACTGTCACCGCTAGTGATGCTTCCTGTTCCCACCACTTTAAGTTCTGCTGGCCTAGAAGTTTTGGTTCCAGACAAGGGGAGCACGCCTGCCAGGACATGGATTATTCGTCAGAGTAGGAGGAGAATAGGTTATGTCACAAGGCATGTCTGCTGTTATTTCAAGCATACAGTGCCCACATGCTCATTCATCTTTTCATCAGCTTTCATCCCTGGAACTGGTTAGGACCAAGGTTTGTATGTCAGTCCTTAGCCGCCTGATAGAGTGTGGATATGCATCTCTACCAATTTCCGAATCTGGGGGAGAGAATTGGTAGGACAATTTGGTCAGGCATCACATCTGGGCATGCAGATACTGATACAAGGACCAAGAGTCGCTAGCACTAGCCTCCTGAGGTTAGTGAGATTGCAGGCCAGCTTGCTCCCAGAAGCCAAGGGGCTCATAGGTCACTATAGTCCTTCCTCAGCTGCCCAGCACACATACAGTAGAGTGATACAGTACTGTAGAACTGCTTGCCTCCCTTAGCTGTTGTGATGACTCAGGAAGAAATGGGTGGCTCCAGCTGATTTGCTGCCTCTCAAGACATGTGAGTGGTGAGACTGTTCCTAGTCTCACTGTATCTAGCCGACCTGCCACACGTACTCTTTTATGTCAGCATGTGCACAGTTGTGCTTCTGAGTTGAGGGATACATATCTTGGATTGCTACTAAGGTGTTGCTGGATTGTTCTGGAAAGTAAGCTGTTTTATAGTCTTGTGACCTCCACAGGAGTCAACTCGTTCCCAACTTTGGTCCCTTTTTTATCATACCCCTGCTGCCATCTTCTGTCTTTGCTTCCCCAGCTTTTGCAGAGCCGTATCATGCTCTAGTTCTTACCGCCTCTCACCTGACCTGCTGTGGGCCTGTAAACCAGGCCTACCCTGGTCACTGTCTCAACCATGTCGTCCTGTCTCCACCTCAGTGGGTGTCATGTTGAGAGCTCCCTAAACATTATAGACAGTAGTCTGTGACTATGAGAAGAGTTAATGAGCTTGAGAATGGGACTCTTCTATTCCCCGTCACCATCTGTCAGGGATCTCTTTTCTAACTCTTCCCCATTCACCTGTGGGCAGAAAGCCTCTCTTCTCCATGTGTGTGTTCCATTTCAGATCCCCCTCAACTGTGGCCCTTTCTCGGTCACGTCAGTACTGCTTACAACATATAAAAAGGAAACTCTATGCTATGCGTGATGGTGTAGACCTGCAAACCTAGCACTTGGGATACTAGGACAAGAAGATGAAGAGCTTGAGACTAGCCTGAGTTACATAGTGAGATTTTTGTCTTTAACAAAATTGCTTTATTCTGTTACCCATCACTTTTAGATATAAAAAGAGACCAAGATCTTCCCAGAATGCTGAGAGTACAAACACAGTGATTTCTGTCTTTCCAGAGACAGCACTCTGCTTTTCTACCTTACAGAATATCATATACTTATAGATGTTACGTTATTTTACAAGCAGTGTGTCCCCATTTGGGTTGTGCTTGCACTGGCAGTTCCTTGGCTTTCCCTGGGAAAGCCTCAGACAGGAACTCTATACAGCCATTACATCCATATGCTGCACACTGCTACATGGGTGTCTCAGCACTATTCTGCCTTAAGATTTTACAGAGGGCTCATCTAAAAAATAATTGTTTTTTTTGTTTTTGTTTTTTGTTTTTCCCGATGCAAAAGCATGAGGATTTTATTAATTCTGTCATGACAGGGTCCCCCAGCATTCGGGAAGCCGAGGGACCTCGAATAGCGGGTACAGTCTACTTTTAAAGGGGCCACAGAAGCAAGGGGGGTTGTTCTTTGACTATTCTGATTGGCTTATTTGAAAGGGCTATTACCAATAATTGACTGGAGAGCTGTTGCCAGATCAGATGAGGTAAGAGGTCATTTTGACCTCGTTTCCCAGGGGACAGAACCAAAGCATACGTATATGGGTAATTGTTCAGGAACTGAGTACGTGCAAGTGTAGCTGTTAGGTCCTTGGTTCCCAGGGGAGGAGGGGAAGCACTATGGCACAGAGGCTGAGAGGATTCAGAATTGTCAGAAATGGCTTCAGGATTGTCTTAAAGTCTTACATTCCCTCCTCTTATTTGGTCAAATATCTCAATCTTGAGATATTAGTAAATTTGGAGGACCAATTGGATCTGTACACAGAGATTAACAAACCAGTGTTGTAGGCCCATCATAGATCAATAAACTGCCAGATGAGTCTATTCCCTACTATTTATGGGTGAAAGAGACTAAGTCCTTTTCATTAACCCTCAACCAGGAGACATTGACATTGGTTTTACATCCTCAGGCAGCACAATAAAATATTTTAGCCCCCCCCCCATATTGTTTTTCTCCCCGGACAAACATATCATTTAGAATATTTGCATACAGGATAAAAGTTTTCAGGGGTTTGCTCAGTATCCTCCCAAGAGGCTTTTGCTAAAACATACAGGTCAAAAGTTAGCTGGGGGAACCAGGTATTCAGGGGATGAACTCCAGTGGCTGGCCTTAAGGCTTGCCCAGTCTCAAAGTTTGTCAGGGTCCAGGTTAAGTCCTAAGGTATAAACATCAGGGCAAAGATCAGCAAGCCTGGCAGAACCAGGCCTCCTTGAGAGGATTTTGGGTACACTGAAACTTTCATTTGGAAGGTCCTGGGTCGTCCTGTGGAGGTGTAGGCTTGACGTGAGATGCATGGATCCAGGCTGCAAGATCGTCCACTCTGAGGGCAGTAGGTGTAGGGTCCCTTCCAGCGAGGTTTAAGGTTCTGGGACCGGTGTCTCTGAACATACACAGAATCGCCAACCTGGAAGCGGGTGTGAGATTTCCGGGTGCCCGGGCTGGTGTTGGGAGGTGCCAGCAGAGAAGCAGGGAGAGTAGCTTAGTCCAGCGGGCAGCAGCAGGGATAGCTAGGGCCCCGTTAGGGAGGGTCTAGTCTGGCCTGCAGCAGCAGGGATAGCTAGGGCCCCTTTAGGGAGGGTCTAGTCTGGCCTGCAGCAGCAGGCTCTGGTCAGATAAATACCATTTTATGTCCCAAGTCCTTCCCGACGCCCATGGAGACAGTTCCGCCTCTCGCCCCTGGGAGACAAGTGGGGGAGATGTCTGAACCCCCGTGTCCAAATATTTCCTCTAGGGGAAAATCTTGCCAGCCTCCAGGGTCGGCTGTGGGGGATATGTATCCCAGGAGGCTAGCTAGCCCTGCTACTAGTTGACAGAAATCAGGGGTGAGGGCAGGGGTATCAAAGCAAGGGCTTGAGGAGGCATGGATTGCAGGTATGAGTGGGCAGCTGCTGTTCTGGCTGTGGGGTGCTGCAGCTTTTCTCATGTCCCTCCGGATATACCCCAGGCGCCAATTCTGGAACGAATGCGAGTTTTCCAGGTGTCAGGGTGGCCAGGGGTCTCTATGCCTGGGCTCGGAGATCTGGAGAGCCTTCAACCGTGCCAGCTGGAGTACTGAAGTCCCATCCTCTTTCTTGTCCGGTGATTGGGTTGGCCTGCTGTCAGGTCCTGGGACATTCTTTTTTTCTCTGTAGTTAGGAGCACCTGTAAGAGCTGCTGGCAATCATCCCAAGTGGGCTGATGAATAACCAGAACAGATTCTATAAGCCCGGTCACTGTCTGAGGGTCCCGAGAAAAGGAAGGGTTGTAAGTAAAGATTAGAAGCAGAAAAAGGCAGTATTGCAATTGGCCTGCTACTGAGTGAAGGGGAAATGTTTGGGAAATCATTCTCATCCTTCCCCTGTCCCAGTGTGGATGCTGAGTACCGAAGTTTTCAGGGCTAGGGAACGAAGTGCTTCCTCCGGGGGAGGAGGAGGGATAAGTCTGTCATGCTCTGCTGGATATCAGGAAGAACCAGAGGTGCCTGGATTCTGGGTTTCTTTTGCTCCCAGAACTTCACAAGGAAGAAGGCATTTGAGGGCCCCCTTTCAAATAGCTCCTTGAGGCCCCCCTTCTTCTCTGGGAATTTGTCATAGATCTGGCGGATGTCCACGGCTTCGAGGTAGGGGTCACTGTAGCTTGGGCTCGACTGGCTGATGTGCACAAACAGGTGCTTGCTGTATGTGTCAGGATCTTGCTGGCGCTCCAGGAAAGCAGAGAACTCCAACATCCAGAGCTTGGAACTGGCCACACTGCAGCCTTGCCATGGGGAAGCTGGCAGTGTTGAGGGCGACGGGGTGGGTCCTGCAGGAGACTCAAAGCCTGGAAGAGGCAGTGGAGGCTGGACAGTATAAGCGTTTTGAGAGAAAGGTTTCACATCGTGGGATGTTCCAGGTTGGCCTGGCAAAGCTCCTTGCCAAAACCCTGAGATTGCTGGGTAGCCAGGGCCCCGGGCAACAGCCATTTTATTGTGGAAGGCTGTAGCGGAGACGATCTGGGCGGACGACATGGCAGCCATGCTCTGCAGGGCCTTGTTCTTAGCTGCCTGGTCCTTGAGTTTGGCCTGGATCTCCCGGGCTTTTCGGCGGGCAAACACCTGGATGTGGCTGGAGACCTGCTTCCTGGTGCGGGTCTTCCCTGTGCGGAGCTTGATGTAGCGTGCAATCAGCTCGTTCCGACCGTACATCTTGCCTTCGTCCGACAGGATGATTTTGCTGCGGCCGCAGGGTGGGTAAATGGCCAATGCCTCCTGGAAGCTTTGCTCGATATCGGGACTCCACACGCCCTCTGCATCATTGTCGATGGGCTTGTCCAGTGCCTGGCTGCCCCCAGAGATGCTGCTCCCCTCGGGGGAGTCCGGAGAGCTCCACTCGTTGGAGGTAATGATGCCGGCCTTGCCCTCCAAGGCTCGGCTTGGAGGAGCGCCCGTTGGACTTGCCAGAATGCTTGCCTGACACACTCAAAGCCCTGGGTTCTTCCTGCAGTACCTAAAAAATAATTGTTTTAACTGGGCATAGCACACATCTTTAATCCCAGCATTTAGGAAGCAGAGGTAAGCAAATCTCTCTTGAGTTTGAGGCCAAACTGGTCTACAAGCCCTAGGACAGCTGGGATGACTTAGAGAGACCCTATCTCAAAAAAAAAAAAAAAAAAAAAAAAAA